ATCCGGAAGCTCTACAAAGGGTTCTTGAAAGATCAAGAAAATCTCCGGAGGCTCCGCTTTGCCGCAGATCCACTCAGGTTTCGTCCCGAACTTCTCCTTGACTCATCCTCTTTGATTCAGATTGTGGGGCATTCAATGCACTTGATGTAGACCAGCAAGAAAGAAAAGGGCTGGGCCAGCAAGTAAGAATCCTACCAAGACCTTCGAGATTCAGAGMGCCAGAGCGTTAAGCGGCAGCCATTAAGTGGAGAATTTCCATCCATTTGCTGTCTCGTTCGCTTTTTTTTATCCGGAAAAAGATCTCAACTAGAGATCGGAGGTATTTGGCCCCCAAAAGGGATTGGGGTTTTAGATCCTCGCATGTGTTTGTGCATTCTAAGGACAGGATCACGGTGGCTCTTAGATGCCTCGAGTACCATTCTGATCGCCTCTTTCATGATCTTTTCTATAGGTCGAACTACTGTGAGCGGTCTAAACTTCGACCCGGATTTGGGCCTAGAAAAGGTCAGCGGGGCAATCAAAAAATACCTGCTTTTGACGCTCGGAGTGAAAAGCCTTAAAGAGAAAGCTTTAGCAACGGTAGGAGTTACTACTTACGCCAGCACCTGACGAGCTTACCAGAACCTTCTCCTCGTACATCTTTCTTGGTATATCCAGATAATAGGTAGGAGCATAAACTGAAACATTCTGGAGCTAGAAAGCTCGTTATTAACTAATTTTCACAGCATAAGCAATACCGATAGCACCAATAGCATCCCTTCCAGTTCCCTTTACTAGTAAGGGGAGCCATCACCCTTTGTTGCTCCCACTGGAGGGTTCAGAGAGGCATCTCATATATCGGTCTGGGGGGTACCATTTCTTTTCTCTGTCTCGCTATACAGGGCTTGATGTACAGTTTCCTTAGTCGTAAGGTAGGGCGTATTCTTTGAAGAAAACAGACTTTAGGAAAGTGGTTCAGGTAGCTCAGCTGGCCACTATCGTGATTGAGAATGAGTCGGGCGAGGGGGAGAGATGGAAGGCAGGCTTTCCTGAGGTATCTAATAACCTTGCTTCTGCTCGCCGCYGGCGCACCTCTCCTAACTATTGCCCATTTATTCTGGAATAATCTTTTTAGGAGGGACAATTTTACATATTTCTGCCAAATCCTTCTATTATTAAGTACGGCTGGTACCATTTCGATGTGTTTCGATTCTTTCGAACGGGATCCTCGTAGTAGGCTGGACCAACATCCAGCCGCAATTTCCCAATCCTAACGAAGTAGTTCCTCCGGAGAGTTTTCTCCCTTTCTCTCACTCAATAGATGTATCTGGTCTGATACGGCTTAGTAAAGCTGCAGGGTATAGAATGGAACTAGATGGATGCTTGCATTAGCGGTTGAGGTGCCAGGAGATGGGAAGTGAACAGTACCCGACGACATTCAGGGATGGATGTAGACCYATCGGGCAGGGATAATCATTCTGGTCCTCGTAGATCACAAGCTAACCGTACCAACAAGCCGATCAGCCCTGTGACGAAAGAAAGCAAAGAAACTCAGCTTCTTGCAGGTCAAAATGCACCTCGAGGTGCTGCCGAGGAACTGGGGGACGTAAGACAGCTATTATTAAGTCGAGCGAGCTTTCGCATTCAACTGCCTGGCTGTACTCAATATGCAAATATGAAATCCTGCACCAGTTTCGATCGACGATCCTCGCGCCACAACCATCTCTTTTTTATAGGTTCTACGGAAAAAGAGGAAATTGTACATCAAGCCCTGTATAGCGAGACAGAGAAAAGAAATGGTACCCCCCAGACYGATATATGAGGCCCGCCCCTTACTATTCAAAAAATGACCAGACGTACCTGGTTGCGATCAGATGTAGGAGAGAAGTTCGTTTTTCTGAATAATTAAATAAGTTTTATCTTTTCTCCCGGCTAACTTCGTGCCAGCAGCCGCGGTAAGACGGGGGGGGCAAGGCGCTCGCACGCTTTAAGGGCAGTTGAAGGTATTGCACTAAGAAAGACTTCTGCCGTTGCTAAAGGTCAGATTTTAACTCAAGCTATTTCTTTAAAAAGAGGAGCAAGCAAGATCAGGCTTTTCAGCCGTATCGCGCAGAAGCGCTCAAACAACCTATCTTACTAATAATAAGAAAGGGAGGAAAAGCCTGACCTGACCTTATTGTTAGGTCATCCTATTTCGGTGCATGGTCAGGTTCTTAAGGTATGTGCCAGAACAGCTGCTGCTCTGGGGCATCCAATTCCTCTTCTTTCTTTTCCTGCTGATCTCACATCGAGAGCTGCTCCTTCTTGTTCAGGGTCATCAGATGAGAGATCTTCCTCTGATTCCGAGAAATCGGCTGGCAAGTTAAAGAGCATGCGAAAGCTGAACTAGTACAAAGACCATAAGAGGGCTTGAACKGGCGAGATAGGCTAAAAAATCGGCAGGCAATTGAATTGAGAAGGTTTTCCGCAGTTGACCGGGAAAGGCTGGGGGGCTGATTCCACCCCGTGACGAGAATTCTCAACCCGAGATGTTAGAAGGTGCAAAATCAATGGGTGCCGGAGCTGCTACAATTGCTTCAGCGGGAGCCGCAGTCGGTATTGGAAACGTGTTCAGTTCTTTGATCCAGAAAAGTCATCCGCTTGTCAATGAATTCTTGGTGTAATACTCACTCTACAATGATTTGTGTCAAAATTTTTCACTGATTAGGTGTGAGCTTACAGGGCTAGGGCTCATCCGTGTAAGAATTAGGAATTCCTCTTCCAACTCGTCCCGGAATGGGCGTTATGGCAAAGAACAAGAAGAAAACAAAAGGAGAAATTTGTCCAATAGTAACAAATGGTGCCTCCACAGGTTGACATCCGATCCGCGCCATTGGCGCTTTGTTCTCCTCTTATTCTTCATTGGACGATTCGGATGGACTTCGCCGTTCTTTCCCAACTCAAATTGAAAAGGCTGTCTCACATCGAGATGTCGATTCGTTTTCCGCCCCCAATGAGATGGGGAATTAGTAACCCCCTATTTCGACTTTTTGGCCCTTCATCTTTCTGAATCGAGGCACGGCTCGCGTCGTTCCAACAACCGGCGGGGAGCACCTCAGTATACGATCGCGCGCAGTAACTGGGAGTCCTATTACACCTAAGGCCAACTTCAATTCACCAAACCAAGGTTCATCTCGCTGCTTGATAGTGACTTCTTTCGTTTGGTAGGATGACGAAAGGCTACTTCAATCTAGGAAACCGCCGGAAACTCGAAAGGGTCCGGACCTCCCCCGGGAATGATTTGGAAGATCCAAAACAAAAAATAGTGGTATTTGCACTGATTCCACCGATGAAAGAAGCCAGGCTACATAAGACTCTCTAGGAATGGAYAGAAGAGGCTACGGGATTCGCACACTAGCAGGGCCAATCAGCGAGACTTTGACAACAAGACTCAACTGTGGAATTGACTAAATAGGACACGAGCGGGAGGATGGGAATGAAGAACGGGCGCCCAGCCCATGCATCCCGAGCAGAGAGCTAACCTGGAATGGGATGCATTTGAATAAAAGAACGAACTCAACCGAAGAACTACAAGGATCGTCGATCTCTTCCTTAAAGATTGAGATGAGTCGATGTCGGTCGATGGTGTGAAAACACTTCCTGATGTCGAATTCCAAAAACCTGCGAGAGGTTCCCCACTCTTCTTTGATCCGTCTTAGGGCCGAGTGGCGGCCTCGACCCGAGTGGAAGTGCGATGTGTCTGGAAACTCGGGATCGTAAATGGATTCGAGTACCATTCTGATCGCCTCTTTCATGATCTTTTCTATAGGTCGAACTACTGTAAAAATGACCATTTCATTGGAAAAAGAAGAACTGCCAAAGTATATATGCTCAACAATACAAGAAGAGTGAGCTAAAGCACATACGCTTTGGCCCTACAAAACTTTGAAAAGAACTGATAGTGAGGAAAGTAAATAAAAGCAAAGAACAACAAAGAAAGAGAAGAATCAAACATCCTGATTGGTCCCCTGCTTGTCAACGTAGACACCATCGATCTCTTCAACTGGGGCCTTGTCCTCGTCCTCTTCCATGGCAGCCTCGAATGCCTGATACACCAAGGCGAAGTCCAAATCGGGAGCAATCTTCTTCACCTCAGCGACGACGATGTCGAACCCTTTGTCAGCCAGGTCTCACACCAGGTCGTCAAATTCCAAGAGCTTCTTCATGGTGTACTTGAGGACATTAAAATTTTTTATTCTTACCTTGTGATTGGCCCTCTCAATAGCCCGCTCCGCAGCTTCCTTTTTAGCTCGACCCTCAACTCCTCGATTTGTTTAGTAGCCTCGCGCTCATGAGTGAAGCTGACCTTGCAAGCCGTCAACTCTTGGCTAACAATCGCCCCAACGTGGCAAGCTGTGAAGTGAAGCAGAGCCATCTAATCTATCAAGTATAAATATAAATATTGTTTGATCATCTTGAATTTATAGATGTTAAAGTCATGTCATTCTATTTTTTTAATTAAAAATTAGAAAACGAAAAATGTTGACCAAAATGTTACCAAACATATCTTTAATTACTAAATATGCTTTTAAGTTTGCATCGCATCCAAAATGATTCCACAAATTACGAATATGCATTTTTTTTCCTAATTACTAATTTTCAGTCTATCATTAAAGTAAATTGTTAACTTAGTCCTCTCCCAAATATTTCTTAAAAAAAAAAAATGTTTCTAAATCAATTTGATTTTTTTAACAAAAACTTCCTTTTATTATAACTATTTAAAAAGCACTTTTAAACCCGCTCTAAATTTTTCTAAAAGTTATACAAAACATACTTTCATTAAAAAATCACTTGTTTAAAAAATCATCTCAAACAAAGACTAACATTTTTGTAGTGCTAATTGATCAGTGAAGTTTTCGTTAAGATCAAAAGATGATTCAAAGTCGCACAAGAAAGGAAAACGATACCAACAAATAAAATTATATTCCCATTCAATTGACGATTCTTGTACAAAGATAGCATCAACTCAATTATAAAAAATATAAGGCAACGGGCAACGATTTGACATTGCAAATCAACAAATTATTCTTATGATCATCAACAATGAAGAGATGGCAGAAGTTATGGCAGATGAAAACACCAATAATAATTAAAAGGTTCTTTTCTTTTCCTTCGGATTTGATTAACAAAAAAAGAAATATAGTAAATTACACAACAATAAACAATGGTCAACAAAAAAGATAAATAAAAAAGTTTGTATAATATGGCCTTATTCAGATCCTGTAAGCAAAAGAAATAGCTCCTCATCTGTAATTGCTCCCATTTCCATTGCTCTTTCTAAAGCACTTAATCCTCCACCATCTTTGATGGATGGCCGTGCACCTCTGTAGAGTTTATAAGAAGCAAAAACACAGATGATAAAATTTATATAAGAACACCATTATCAATGTAATTCACAAAAATAATATACCCTACTCGTTTGATCAAGCCACTCTAACATTAATCTTCACCTTGGTTCATAGTTTCCTTTTTTCTCAATTGATTAGTTCCTCAAGTCGACAGTCTATCTCGCACGTGTTCTAAGCTAAATAATAAAAGAAAAGATAACTCATCGTCTTTCCTTTTTTTATTACATTTTTCTTGATGTCTGTATTAAACTGAATCCATTCAATTTCTAAAAGGGATTCACTTCTGTGTTCATGAGAAACTTTGAATGACATCCTCTCATGCTAAGAACCACAGATGGGGGCACGAGATATGACACCAATTGACATGAAGATGGAAACATTATTTTCTAACAATCTAGGACGTGGATATGGAGAGGACATATTTTAGAAAAATATTTATATTTGAGTGAAATACACTTTTGGTCAAAAGGGACATCATTTTAGTCCGTGAGATTTTAAAAATGGTTCTAAATAGATCCTAGACCATTAGTTGATAATGAAAAGATGATATCATCTACTTAGCAAGATAACTGTCGTATCATCTTTCTATTAATTAACTTATAGTCCGGGACCATTTAGAACTATTTTTCAAACCTAAATGACTAAATAGACATCAAACTACCCTAGAGACCAAAGCTGTGTTTTGGCCTCTTTTTTAAGCAAGAAGGAAATTTTAAGTCTTGCATTTATATGCTTAAAAAATGAGTTTGATGTATTTTGCTCTCAAATTCTATTACTTTTGTCCTATATTCTAATGTCTAGTTAATATGCTTATTGAGTATTTAATATGTGTCGACAAGTATTGAACTTATACTCAATTTTTACAGCTAGTATCAACCCCACATTTATTGTACTAACATGTGTTCGACACGGACACAGACACGGACATGTTACCTGAACAAAAGTGTCTATGCTTCTTAGCTATCTGAGATACATAGCGTGTAGAAGAATTAGAATTAGAAGTTGGCTTTTGGAGAATATTGTACCTTCTAAGTAGCAACTTAGCTAACGTGTTGTTTTTCTGGGAGATGCATTGATGCAAAGGCGTCCTTCCATGAGAGTCACGTACATTTATATCCGCACCAAATTGCAATAACAATTCAACCATCACTTGATTCCCATTTTGACAAGCGAGATGCAATAGTGAACAACCACGAAGGCTGTTCATTGACTCTTTAGAATCCGAATCTCTCCCACACGATGATGCATTATCCGATTCCCGACTTTTTTCCGAGTCCTCGTCCAAATCCGGGCTTGAACTTACTCCGACCACATGATGAAAAGTTGTGTTGACAATTGATACAGTCGAAGCTGCAATGAGGTGATATGCTTTTTGCAAGTCATTTGTTTTGACAGCTTCCCATATGCTTTTTGTCATGCCAGATGCTTCACCATCCTTGACCACAAGAAGTTTCTCGACATACTATTTAAGGAACAGAAGTTACAAGTCATACAGTTACATGATAGAACTTGTGAAAAGGAACTGTGCGCTCAATGTGAGAGAAACATCAAAATACATACATATCCTATGAATAAAGTCATCAATGAAGTGGAAACAAAAATAATTAAGTGATCTTCTCCAATAATGACCAATAATCATAATAATGTTATGGGCAATGTTTTAAATTTTCTCGACATGCTGACATCTCCATCGACATTTCCACATGTCCAAGGATTCGACATCAATATGAGTGGTTAATCGATATTTTCATCACATCATAAAAACAATAACAAAATATAGGAAATGCTAACAAAATATCACTGTTAGAAACATAAATACTAATAAAAAGAAATTACAAATTATTTAAAAGGAGTGAAATGTGTATTTATTAATTTAAATTCATTCAGGAATTTTTTATTTTTATAATTCTTTTAGAAATTATCTATCAATATTATTTTATCGATATTTTCATAAAATTGAGATCTCAACATTTTCATCGATACTGACATTTTAAACCTTAGTTCCAGGGTTGCTGGCAAGGAATTATGAAAGTTAAGTTTAAAACATATATGAAAATTAGGAAATGAATTTAAGACCTTATATATTATTTAGCAAACTTGGAATGGAGAGGAAAAATGCCTTCTACCTTAGCCTGTATGTATCTCTCCTTAAGCTGTATGGCATCCCTGGGACTTGGTTTTGGAATTGATTTGGCCACAGTATGTTGAGTACTATCGCTGCAAAAGTTCATGTTTTTAAAATTCAATTGCAGAGAAATAAGAAGTTAAAGATGGCATCCATTACAAGAATCATGACAAAACATTTCTTGATCCTCACATCCTGAAACCATTGATAGGAACAAGAATCAACAACTTCAAACTTTGGGACTTCATGATGAACAATTGTCTAATTTCAAATTAACATATTTAACAATTAAATTTACCGTAATCCATAACTTAAGTTTTCGAGTTCAGTGGTGATTTATCGTGGTTACAAAGCAAGAAGTCATGTCGAACCCCTATAACTTCATTTCCTCCTTAATAGTGATGACCATTTGTTGGGTTTTGTGCAAATTTTCAAGCCCCAATTGAAAATAAATATTAAAGTATTGATAAGTGATTAAATTTAATGAAACCCAAAAACTTTTTGGGTTAATCGGTGAATAAACAAATATATTATCATCAATTAAAGAAAATGGAATATGTGCATACCCAAATCATTACACACATCATGCAGAAATATTTGACCAGACACTGACTGAGCACGACCACGTTACAATCAGAGTACGGAAAGGAGTTTATGATAGCACGATAGGACTTCATAGCAAAGGGAAATATAGTAATAGCTGGAAATATTCATCTGCTTGTATTTCAGATCACCTCAACAGCATTAAGTAGTAAAATTTTTCCAACAGCTGACCAACCGTTTCCATTTTTCATCTTTTATGTGGATTATATTTTTTCCCATAATTCCATTAACCACTCTGATATTATAAGTACTAGCTTTCTTATTCTAGCTTAATGTAGCAAATTCTTTTGTAATTATTCTCTCTCTATGATCGTTTAAATTGGAAACCTATTTTATTCAAGCTTGGGGGTCACGTCTTCCGCCTGCCTTTAGATCATTTAAATTGGAAACCTATTTTATTCAAGCTTGGGGTCACGTCTTCCGCCTGCTTTTAGGTTGTCAGGGGTCACGTCTTCCGCCTGCCTTTAGGTTGTCAGTTTTTTTGTGTTTTATTCAACACAGATTTCTTATAAAAGGAAAAAAAAGAATAAATATATAAATATAAATGTATATTATAAAAGACTAGTTCCTTCCTAATCAGTAGGCTGCAATGCTGCATGTATAATGATGTAAATATCTACTACCCTGAGACTAAGAGACAAAGGAGAGGGTTGGCTATTTACAAGGAGCCAACCTAACAACCTAACTAACAAACTAATATAAAACCAAACTCGCTACTCCTTCCCTCTTAAAAAAAATTCGTCCTCGAGTTTAAAAGGAATCAAGATAGGAAGTAAGCAAACTTTCAGAACTGAATCTCTCTTCCTTTTGCGATTCAAATATACTTCAACTGAAAATATTGTCTTCAATTCGTCAAAACACCAATAAAGCAGTGTCTTAATCATCCAACTGAGTGCAAAATCACACAAGGAATTCAGCAGTCGACCCATAACTTCTTCACTTCCACTAGTCATATTACTAATTTGTAAAGAACCCAATTCTTTTCTAGCAAGATCTTGGTTCTTCAAAGAAATTAATCGCAATTCAATCACAACATGACCTTCATGCAGTGAATCAGATTCGAATTCTTGAGGTTGGTAAATTGAACTTTCTCCAGTTTTTCCAACTTCAATAATATCAGCTTCAACCAAGCCTTTCTCAACTTTAGCCACATGCTTTTCTTTAAGATCTTTATCAAATTCTACGGTGTTAGTGAAAAGTTTCTCCAAACAAAATAAAATTCCATCTCCTTCATCGAAATAATCAACAAAACTCAAAAGAAATTCATCTTCTATGTTGATTGAACTTATCTGAATGAGATTTTCTTGCAAAAGTGCCAGTAGAAGATTATCCCTTTCCATTAGCTCATCTTAACAATTCTTGTGAAATTCTTGATTCAAAAATCTCAATAACGATTCTTGTCGATTGAATTCTTGTTCTTTGTTAGAGTATATATTAGTATATTTTACATTCTTGTAAATAATACGTATTCATTTGTCCTTTACCTTCCCCTTCTAAGATTAGGTCAACCTTGAATATTTGTCTATATATATAGACTTCAGTAACGAGAATAAGATCTATCTAGTTCTCTCAAACCTTAGTTTCTACATGGTATCAGAGATCTAGGGTTTTGTGCCCATTAGGGTTTTGTCCATTAGGGTTTTGTTCATTGCTATCCAACTCAACTCACTACCACTGCCGCCACCCACCACCGCCGCCGCCGCCGCAGCTGCCGCTGTCGTTTGCTGATTCGCCAACGCTGCTGTTTTTCAATTGCTGTTCGTGGGTTTCGTCTTGCCGTCCTTCGCACCTCCGTTGCTGCCAGGCGCCTTCGTCCCTGGTTGTCGTGGGGTAGCACTTAGGGTTTCTGGTTTCAGAAAATATCTAGCCCGGTTCAAGCAGTCTGGTTCGAGCGGTCCAGTTCAACCGGCTTGGTTTCAAGCGGTTTGGTTCATCAGGTTCAGGTTCGGTTCGATCTGGTTCATCACATTCCGATTCGGTTTGGTCTGATTTATACCGATTCTGGTCCGGTTCGTTTGTTTCGATTCAATTGGTTTGGTTCACTTGGCTCTGTTCAATTGGTTTGGTTCGATTTCCTTTCCTCCTTCAGATTTGGTTTGGTCTATTTCAATGCAGTTTTTGTTTGTGTCCATATTGTTGAAGTTATGATCGAGAAGAAATTAATGGTAACGATTTCTGCGGAAGAGTTTGCTAAATTCCAACAGTATCAAGAGTCATTGATGGCATCATCCTCTAATCCAATTACTGTTATTGCTGATTCAGGTAATACCAATAAATGTCTTATTTCCTCCGCGTCAAATGGGTCATTGACTCTGGTGCTACGAATCATATGTCAGGTAACACCAATTTATTTGCTACCTTTTCACCATCTACATCTTTACATGATGTTACAATAGCGGATAACACCACTTCTCCTGTTTTTGGCTCTGGCACAGTTCATCTCTCCAAAACTCTTTCATTGACCACTGTTTTAAATTTGCCACAATTTTCTTTTAATTTGATCTCTGTCAGTAAACTTACTCGTGATCTCAATTGTTGTGTCTTATTCTTTCCTAGTTATTGCTTATTTCAGGATCTTACAACGAAGAAGACTATTGGTAAAGGACATGAATCTGATGACCTCTACACGTCTGATACACAAATACCTACAGCGACTCGAGTGCCAACTCCTTTCGAAGAACATTGTCGTTTGGGTCATCCATCTCTCTCCGAGTTAAAGAGTCTCCGTCCTCAATTTCATAGTTTGCATTCTTTAGATTGTGAGTCATGTCAATTTGATAAGTTTCATCGTCTCAGTTCCTATCCTAGAGTCAATACACGAACTAATGCACGTTTTGAATTAGTCCATTCTGATGTTTGGGGTCCTTGTCCTATTGAGTCCAAAAATGGATTTCGGTATTTTGTTACTTTTGTCGATGATTTCTCTCGTGTAACTTGGTTATATTTGATGAAACATCGTTCTGAGTTACTTTCTCATTTTCGTAACTTTCATGCTGAAATTCGAACTCAATTTGGTGGTTCTCTTAAAGTTCTACGGAGTGATAATAATAAGGAATATTTTTCTGGTGCTCTTGGCTCCTATTTAAGTGAACATCGTATTATTCATCAATCCTCGTCTATTGATACTCCGTCTCAAAATGGAGTTGCAGAAAGGAAAAATAGACATCTTCTCGAAACAGCAAGGGCCTTCATGTTTCAAATGCATGTTCCAAAATACTTTTGGGCTGATGCTGTTTCGATGGCTTGCTTCTTGATTAATTGCATGCCTTCGTCAGTTCTTAAGGGTGAAATACCTTATCGTACCCTATGTCCTACGCAACCTTTATTTCCTATTAAACCTAAAATATTTGGTTGCACTTGTTTCGTTCGGGATGTTCGTCCCCAGCTCACCAAATTAGACCCTAAGTCATTGAAATGCATTTTCCTTGGTTACTCTCGTGTTCAAAAAGGGTATCGATGTTCTTGTCCTGATCTCAATAGATATCTTGTCTCTCCCGACGTTACGTTCATATAAGATACTCCCTTTTCATTATCTTTTAGTACCAGGCAGGGGGAGCGTTCACAAGAAGATGATGACTTTCTTGTCTATTTCATTGTCTCTACTTCTACTGAAGAGCTTCCTAGCAATACATCTCCCTCTGTGCCTGAACCTTCTCTTCCCACCATTACTTAAGTTTATTCTCGTTGGCAACCTCCTACGGACTCATGCCCTATACTAACAGCTTCTTCGTCCATGGATCCAGGAACAAGTGATGACCTTCCTATTGCTCTTAGAAAAGGTAAGCATAAATGTACTTATCCTGTTTCTTCTTTTGTTTCATATAACCATTTGTCTTTCACCTACTTGTTTTTCTTGCATCCCTTGAGTCTGTATCTGTTCCTAAAACTGTGCATGAAGCTTTGTTTCATCCTGGTTGGCGGACTACTATGTTAGAGGAAATGATTGCCTTAGATGACAATGGTACTAGGGATTTAGTGTCTCTTCCTGCAGGAAAGAAACCTATTGGTTGTAAATGGGTGTTTGCTGTTAAAGTTCATCCTGATGGATCAATTGCCCGTTTGAAAGCTCGTCTTGTTGCTAAAGGATATGCGCAGACTTATGGAATTGATTATTCTGATACTTTTTCTCCGGTTGCTAAATTCGCTTCTGTCAGGTTATTCATTTCCTTGGCATCTATTCACCATTGGCCCTTGCATCAGCTTGATATTAAAAATGCATTCCTCCATGGTGATCTTCAAGAAATATATATAGAGCAACCACCAGGTTTTGTTGCTCAGGGGGAGAATGGAAAGGTATGTCGCCTTCGTAAATCCTTATATGGGTTGAAACAAAGTCCGAGAGCATGGTTTGGAAAATTCAATCAGGTGATTGAGAATTTTGGAATGAAGAAGAGTAAGTTAGATCATTCTGTTTTTTATAAAAGATCTGAGTCTGGTGTTATCTTACTAGTCGTATATGTTGATGATATTGTGATTACTGGTAATGATTCATCAGGCATCCTATCACTTAAGTCTTTTCTTCATAGTCAATTTCATACTAAAGATTTGGGAATGTTGAAATACTTCTTAGGAATTGAGGTAATAAGGAGCAAGAAGGGGATCTTTTTGTCACAAAGAAAGTATGTACTTGACTTGTTAACTAAAACAGGAAAATTAGCTGCTAAGCCACGTAGTACTCCAATGATGCCTAATTTACAACTTACAAATAAATGGGAGTTGTTGAAAGATCCTGAGAAATATAGGAGGTTAGTAGAGAAGCTGAATTACCTTACAGTTACTAGGCCTGACATAGCTTATCCAGTTAGTTTATGAGTTCTCCTACGACTGACCATTGGGCCGTATTGGAACATATTTTATATTATTTGAAAGGTGCTCCTGGACGTGGTTTGTTATATATATATCATGGTCATCTTAATATTGAATCTTTTTCAGATGCTGATTGGGCAGGTTCTAAGGAAGATAGGAGATCAACTTCAAGATATTGTGTATTTGTTGGAGGTAATTTAGTTTCTTGGAAAAGTAAGAAACAAAATATGGTGTCACGTTCAAGTGCTGAATCAGAATATCGAGCAATGGCACAGTCGGTGTGTGAATTAGTATGGATATATCAGCTTCTAACTGAATTGGGATTTGGCATCACCACTCCAATGAAACTTTGGTGTGATAATCAAACAGCTCTCCATATTGCATCTAATCCAGTATTTCATGAACGAACCAAACACATTGAAGTTGATTGTCATTATGTACGTGAGAAAATACAACAAGGATTGGTGGCTACAGGATATGTGAAGATTGGAGAGCAGTTAGGAGATATCTTCACTAAAGCATTGACTGGAGCATGGATAGATTATCTCTCTAACAAGTTGGGCATGATTAACATATATGCACCAACTTAAGGGGAGTGTTAGAGTATATATTAGTATATATTACATTCTTGTAAATAATATGTATTCATTTGTCCTTTACCTTCCCTTTTTGGGATTAGGTCAACCTTGTATATTTGTCTATATATATAGACTTCAGTAATGAGAATAAGGTCTATCTGGTTCTCTCAAACCTTAGTTTCTACATTCTTGAACCTCCCACTCTTGAACAAAATCCCTCTTCATCATCAGAAAAATCCGAATCTTGAATACATAACTGCAAATCTTGGCGACGACATTCATGGCCTCCCACGTTTCTTGCTATTTCCGAAGTGCGCAATTTGTTTCTTGGTCGATTCTGGCACTGGTCGCCGTGTTGTTCATTGTTTCTGTTACCAAGGTCCAATTGAAGACGTTCTTGCTTCATTGATATAAGTTCCAATTGGCGGCCTAAGTTCCCCACAAGTTCATGGATGTTGTGGATGCTAGACCGAACTTCACGTAAAGAAACCTCCATCAACAACAAACGGTTGGTGGTAGATTTAGGTGATAAAGGTTGAGAGGTATCAAGATCCACCATAGGTCCCTTGTCGGAAGTCGCTGCGTTCTTGCCGGCCATCAGGTCCTAAGATTTGTCTAGGGCTCTAATACCAATTTGGTATAAACCAATTCTTGAAGAAATTCTTTATTCAAATTCTGATTTTTACAAAGGAAATGGTTGGCTATTTATAAGGAGCCAACCTAACAACCTAACTAACAAACTAATATAAAACCAAACTCACTACATCAGATTGGATCTATGCGGGTGGAGGGTCGCGAAGGCGGCGCGGTAGATGGAGGTTCGCTTGCGATGAAGGCCGACT